AATAATAAGAGATGATATCAATAATAATAATTCAAGTCTGATTTTCATCTATATTTGTTTTATACCATGTTTTAAAACACTTCTTATCTTACAAGAGGCAAAAGAGTGAAAGAATTAAGAGTTTGTTTGAGTACTTTATTTATTATCAGCTCTCTACTAAGAGATATAATGTCTGAATAAAAATGTATTGATTTTTTTAATTGGGGGGGACCGGCATAGTGATAATCATAAATAAGACGAGGGGAAACGTCTCACAATAAGCTCTAAGTGAGACTGAATGTCAGGTGGATGCAGAACTTTGCTTCATAGTTGATGATGATTTGGTGTAATCTAATAAATCTCTGTTAAGCTCTCAGGGTGTCATAATGTAAGACACACATCTGCCAAATATGCCCTGAAGCCTGCAATAGGTGAGATWTAATATTCATTTGAATCAGCTGTTGAAAAACGTACTGAAGCTGTATTTTTTCGAATAACTGTGTGGTGTTTTAAGTGTTTCATTGTCATGAAGTATGTTTTGGATTCCTAATACTTTATATACTTGYTCGTATGAGTTGCTGATATTGTGAGAGGCTAGTGTTTGTGTATAAAACTACAGTGCTACAAAGAAAATAAGGATCTTTCTCACTGATGCAAGCAGAATTCAGCAATCAATAGGCGTAACATAAAAAAGCACTTGCTTTGAGACTGTTGGCGGTAGCAGGTCATCAGTGTAATCCAATGAATATCTTAACGGACTAATTAAAACAACACGAGGAATTTAACCGTTTCCTACTGCCGGTGTTCACCCAGTGCCTCAGGGCAAGGCAACATATCAACGGCTGCCTCTGTATATTAAGCGTCAGCACGCGGGAATGGAGCAGAGGAGGGGGGGCCGTGGCTCAGGTGTGAGGTATATATATGTATATATATATTTTTTTTTTGGTTCGCACACCCTCCCTCACGTATACACCCTCCCTCCGACCTTTTCTTTAAGTATACGTGCTGTCAAACTGTCACAAAGCTGCTCATTCAAAATGTCAAACTGGGAAGTTATCAAACCGCTCCGGATTCAAAAGTGCCTCGGAGTCGTCGGCGCGGCTCGAGCGGGCACGATTCACCTCCGCTTAAAGCCTGGGAGGGTTCTGCGCCGTTGTTAGCTTTACTTATTGGTCATTTCACCTTGCCTTCCCCTCCGTATTCACTGATTCGCTGCAGAAAATGAAGCCACCGCGTGGCCTTATCGCCCTTCTTCCCATAACACAGTAATAGAGCTGATACGGCTGAGGACATAACAAATACAACGTATCTAYGCACGAACACTAAAACACAGGTGAGACTCAGGGAAGTAACAGGAGCGACATGATGGGAGCGATTGCCTCTGATAGGAATTTTCACTTGAATTTGCAGTCGTATAAAGAGCGTGCATTCTTTTCTGTTTAAATAAAGCCAATTACTCATTTGCAGACTAGCAGGAACACTAAACCCCTCAGTGGAAAAAGCCTCGGACAATGAGCTAGTCTGACGACCAGGCAGAAAGGTCATAGCTTGCCAATAAAAAAATAACAAAATGAGCTGCCACCTTACAAACCTTTCAGTTAAAAGAACTGCAAGAAACATCTGCTATCAACTCTCACACAACACGCACTGCAGCTCAAGGACATTAGAATAAGAAATAAACACATTTAGCTGCACTATCTTGCACAGATTACTACCAGGAATACAAAACGTGTACAATTTTACAACTTTAAAATGTATTTTTTTAAATCGAGTTTGCATGTGCACTGTGCTGTTTCAAATATACCACCTGAATATCTGRATTTTATAAAATAATTTCAGCTGAACCCTACCTAATCCATCGCTTCAAACATCAAAATGTGAAGAGTTCATTTAAATATTCGGCTTTTTACAAATTTCAAAATGAGTGCTTCCTCTTTTCAGAAACAACTGTGAATATGTGTGGATTTTTAAGCTGAAAAAAGTTTATATAGCGCAATTAATCGTTTAACACTGTCAACAATTAGTTTTGAACAGATTAGGTGTTTTACAAATGCACCRGATTCAGTTTGGTGAGAATTTTAGACTTGGCGACAAACGTTTTGAGAGGGAAGCTTTTCGTTTCGAGCCTATGTGTTTCCCCATCCGCTTGCATTATCAGCACGCCGAGAGCGATCCAGTCCAATATCTGCTGGGTCAAAGCGACGCCAGGAGACAGCACGCCCTTCTGTGTCCACATGAGATATGTGCACACTGCACATGTGGCGGCGGCAGAGAAAAAGGGTGGGGGCGTGTCAGCCTCGCTCAACCACAGAAATAAAAGTGAGATATTATATTCTACCAGGAGTCTGTTTCATTATTATTATTATTATTATTATTATTATTATTATTATTTGACTTGGTGTGAATTTCCACTTCGACAGACAGACTGCTCACCTGAACAGGAGTTTGCAACAACACAGGACATGGGCGGGCAAAAGTCACAGTTGGCAAAACACAGCAAGCGGAGTGACAGAACATGAATAAACTCTTACATAAGTGCAGATAACGTTAACTCACCGTCTTTGAGTCTAACTCGTGGTGCTGTTGAGCTAAGACTTTATCTACGCTGGCAGCATCTGTAAACGTAACAAACCCAAATCCTCTGCAAGAGAGAAAAAGCAAAGATGGGAAGAGAAAAGGGGGAGAAAATGATTTTTAAAAAAGGGGAACACAGGAGGAAATGTTGAATTTTCTGCATTTAAAATATAGATTTTTAGAACAACCCAGCAACTTCTAATCAGGATGTGACCTTATTACTGGCTGTTTCTTTCTAAATATGCCGTAAGCAGACAGAGACACGCTGCTGATCGATAGGTGTGTTCCTGAGTGAGGACGCCACGCCAACGCTGTGGTGCAGTCACAAAGTCAATGTCAAATTGCATTTACAGCAGCGAGCGTTTAAAGCTTATCTGGCTCGCTGTGAAACCACACGCAGGCGCGCGCACCGAGGGACGCGCGCGGGCACACCGACACGTATGCGCGCGCGCGCGCCTCGGATTAAACACGGTCAAAGTAAAGCGACATGCGCACTGGAAGGGGGGAAAAGTAACGTTTTTATTTACCTTGAGCGYTTCGTCGTGGGGTCTCTCATCACCATACATTCTCTTATTTCTCCGAATTTACTAAAATAGTCTCTAAGGCTGTCTGTGTGGAAAACAGAGAGAGAGAGGGGGAGAAATATGTCGGGAAGAAGGGGGGGTTATTATTTGACAGTAGCATATGCTTTTATACAGGAAAGACACAAAACAAACAAGCAAACAAGCAAACAAACCCCCGCGCGATGCGCATAGGGGTCGAATAGAGGACTTCAGATGGACGGAGATCAAAAATAACACCGCCGCGCGCGCRCRCACACACGCATTCACACGCGCCAGCTGAGATATCCCATACAGAACACACTCTGCTGCACAGTCAGTGCAACGCTCGGCTCAGACGTGCACACACACACTYATTACACCGCCAAGGCAGCCAACGAGCACTCAGTCACAGCGACAGGAAGCAGAAACACAGCACATGACGGAGGAATGGAGAATAACTCTCTCACCTGGTGAGGTTTGCCAGCTGAGGCCACCGATAAACATTTTACTGTAAGGGGAAAACACAACAGAAGTGAGTCCAGATGTCAGTTCGGCCATTTTGACGACTAACTACTTCTAAAAGCGACCTTAAAGGATAAAAGGAAGACTGTGAAAGCGCATTCGCGCTCGGGAATTGCACTCCAGCTACCTAAAAAAAAAGGGGGGGGGCGGGGGTGAGTGTGTGTATG